GTCCTTGGTGATGCTGGTAAACTTTTGTGTCTATGCATTTGCCTATGCTAGATATTTCCTAAGTGGAATAACACACTATTTGTCCTTTTGTGTCTGATTTATTTCACTTAGCATAATGTTTTCTAGGTTCATATGACAGCATGTATCAGAAATTAATTTATCTTTATGGCTGAATAATACTCTATTGTACGTATATACCACATTTTGCTTATCCATTCATCTGTTGATAGACACTTGGTTCTTTTCACCTTTTGGCTATTGTGAATAATGCTTAAATGAATACTGATGTACAAGTATCTCTTTGAGTCCCTGTTTTTAGTTCTTTTGGGACGCTAAACCCACCAGCCACTCTATGGAAGAAAGACTGGGCAGTCTACTTCCATAAAGATTTACTGCCTCAGAAACCCAAAGGGGGTCACTGTGAGTCAGAGTTGAGTTTGGGTTTTTTCAGTTAGTTTCCTTCAGCAGTGTTTTATAGTTTTCAGTGTATAAGTCTTTAAAACCTGCTTGGTTAAATTTATTTGTAGGTATTTTATTCTTTAGGTGCTACTGTAAGTGGAATTATTTTAGTAATTTTCTTTGCAGATTGTTCATTGCTGGTGTCTGATTTTTATGTGTTGATCTTGGACTTTGCACTTTTGCAAAATTCATTTATTAGCTTTAGTACCTTTCTTGTGGGTTATTTGGGATTTCCTGTATATAGCATAATGTCATCTGTGAATAGAGAGTTTTACTTCCTCCTTTTCCAATTTGGATACATTCTATTTCTTGACTAATTGCTCTAGCTAGAGCTAAAAGAGCTCTTTTTAGTACTGATTTCTAAATCAATTATTTTGTGGTGAAAGAACATACTTTGTATCATTTTAGTCCTTTTATATTTGCTCAGATTTCTATTATGGTTTAGATAAAGGTCTGTTTTAGTGAATAATCTCTGTGCACTTGCAAAGTATATTTATTCTCTTGTTTTGGTGGAGTGTTCAGTAAATGTGAATTATGTCACGTTAGCTCAATGTTGTTCAAGGACTGAATTTTTTTTTTTTTTGTCTACTTGAATGAGAGGGGAGTTGTTAAGTCATCAAGTCTAATTGTGGATTTATCTATTTCTCCTTTCAGTTCTATCAAATTTTGACTCATGAATTTCCAGTCTCTTTTATTGGGAACATACATATTTAGAATTATGATGTTTACATCATAAATTGCCCTCTACATTTTTGCAGTGTGTCTTGAACCTTGATCATATTCTTTGTTATGAAGACTATACAACCGCTCCAATTCTCTTGTTTAGTGTTTAGGTGGTATGCCTTCCTTCCATTGTATTTTTTTCTTGTCTTTTATATATAAAGTTTTTTTTTTGTTTGTTTGTTTTTTAAGTCAGCATATATCTTTGAGTCTTGATTTTTAAAATATCATCTGACAATCTCTGCTTTTTAATTACAGTATTTTGAGTATTTATATCTGATATATTTATTGATATGGTTGGATTCAAATCTACCATCTTGCTGTTTTTTCTCTATTTATCCCATCTCTTAGTTTCTTCTACCTGTTTTGATTTTTTTTATTTGATCTCTACCTATTATTAGGTACAACTTTTTGTTTTAATGGTTATACTAGGTTTATAATATAAATGTTTAAATTGTTCACAGTATACATTTGAATAATATTGTATCACTTCATGTATGGTGTCACCTTTAAAAAATCCACTTTCTTTTCTTTCCTTCCATCCTTTATGCTACTGTTCTTATACATCTATCTTACATGTATTATAACTTATATATTGTTGTTATGTGCCGTGGAGTCAGAGCCCACTCACAGTGACCCCTCCTTGGGTTTCTGAGGCAGTATCACTATGGAAGTAGATTGCCCAGTCTTCCTTTGGAGGAGTGGCTGGTGGGTTTGAACCTCCAGCCTTCTGGTTGGCAGTCAAGTGCCTTAGGCACTATGCTACCAAAGCTCCCTAAATTTTATATATATATAAGTTATATATATATATATATATATATATATATATTTCCATATTGTGATTCAGGTGCAGTTTTATAAAGCAGACTCATTTTATACTCAACAGTTCATACACATTTTTCTTTCACAACACCAATTACAATCCCCACAATGGAACAGCTCTTGTCCCACCTCTTCCCTGTGTTTACCCCTTCCCTGTGTCTACTTTTCCTTAAGACATTTTTTCTTATTTTTAATTTAAAATGTAATTGTCTGGTTTACCTAGTGTGGTAAGCTAAATAATAATTACAAAAAAACCACTGCCATCAAGTTGATTATAACTCACAGCGACCCTAAAGGACAGAATAGGATTTCCTCTTCATTTTCTTGCAAAGTGACTGGTGGGTTTGAACTACCAGCCTTTTAGTTAGCAGCCGAGCACTTTAACCACAGCACCATCAGACCTCCTTAAGCTAATAATGTCCATGTCGAAATCCCCAGATCCGATGAATATGTTACCTTCTATGGGAAATGGGAATTTGCAGATATAATGAAGGGTCTTGAGATGGGGAGAGTATCCTGGTTTAATACAGGTGGGCCCAATAATGTAATCACAAGTATTCAGGTAAGAGGGAGATACTATGGCAGAAGTAGGAAATGTGATGACAGAGCAAGAGGTTGAATGATGCAAGGAAAAGGTTGAAAGTCAAGCAATGCAGGGAGCCTACAGAAGCTAGAGGTGGCAAGGAAACTAGAGCCCCTGGAGGCACCAGCCCTTACCCAGTGACACTGATTTGGACTTCGAGGTTCCAGATCTGGTGGAGATTAAATTTGTGTCGTTTTAAGCCACAAAGTTTGTGGTAATTTACAGCAGCTACAGGAAACTAATACACCTACAATTTTTACCATTTCCATTGCTCTTAGTATTGACTGAAGTTTCCATCTAGTATTATGCTTTTGCCTGAACAACTTTATTTTGCAGATCTGCTGGTAATAAATTCTCTCAGCTTTTGTTTCTCGGATGATGTCTTTTGAGTATAGACAATTCTAGACTTAACAGGTTTTTTTTTTTGTTTGTTTGTTTTGTTTTTCCTTTCAGTACTTCGTCATCATGCCAGTATCTTCTGGACTGCATACTTCCTGGTGAGAAGTTTGCTTTCACTGTGATATGTATTTATGTATTTCTTTTTTTGTCTGGTCGCTGTCATGATTATTTCTTTACTTTGGGGTTTTAGCACTTTATACCAAGATATGTTTCTCATAGTATTAATCCTGCCCGAGATGCCCCAAGCTTCTTGAATATGTGATGTTTTGTCTTGCATTACTTTTGGAAAATTCTCAGCAGTTACTTCTTGAAATGATTTCTTCTCCCCTTTTTTCTTTACTCCACTAGGGATACCAGTTACGTATACTTTAGATAGTTTGAGATTGTCCCAAAGCTTTTTACAGATTTCTTCTCTCTGCTGGATCTGTCTGCTGATAAGTCAGTGAAATTAATTATTCATTTCCAATGTTATATTTAATCTTGCATTTGTTTGACTATTTCCAGTTTTTTGCTGAACTAGCCTAACATGTTGTCCAACTTTTCCACTAAAACCAAAACCAAACTCACTGCCATTGAGTCGGATCCAACTCATAGCAACCCCGCCTTGGGTTTCTGAGGTGTATCAGTACAGAAGTCGATTGCCCAATCTTCCTTCTGAGGAGTAGCTGGTGCGTTCCACTAGATCTTTTGAGATATTAATCTTTTTTAAAGTCTTTGATGGTTCTTATATATGAGTAGGTTATCTCTTGGTCTAATTATGTCGACTGCTCTATTTGTTAACAGTGATTTTTTTTTGCTTGTCTTCTAATTTTTTATTGAATGTTGGATATTATGTTTAACAGGTTAGTAGACAGTGAAATGAATAGTATTTATGCCTGGAAAAGGGCTGCAACCTGCACTTAGTGTGGGGCCTGCAGTGCAAGGGAATTTTCCTCAGTGTTCTTACATAATACTCAGATTCAGGTCTCCCATCTCTTTCTTCTGTGCCCGTGGCACAGTGAGGGGTTCTTCCTTTTCCCTCTTTCCGTGCCTCAAATGGTAGGCTGCTGCTGTTGCTTGGTACAAGGCTTACACAGAGGTTGTCAGGATTTTCTTAGGGTTTCTCAGTTCTTCTGTTTCAGCTTCACTCTTGGGCAGGCCCCATGTATGAGCCTCATGAACGAGGGAGCCTTTTTCAGATGTTCTTGTATCAGTAAGGATCCTGATGGGATATTGGTTCTTTTCCACCTCTTTGCACTAAGCATAGTGGGATTGATTTGAGCCTTGTTGGGAAAGGATCCTCCAAAAACAACTGACATATTTTGTTAAATTGTAGCACTTTACAGAGTAAATTTTGAAGGCTGTAGCCCCGACCCTATTCCTTTGCTTAAAATTCCTCTAGTACCCTCATGGATCTCTGCAGTCTCCCATCACTTACCCTGACTTTTCTTCAGTTCATCATTCAAGTCTTGTCTCTCTCTTTTGCCCCTACACCATCAGTTCCTCCAGTGCATGTGTCTTATTCTGTTTTGCCAGAGATGAAAAGAGCACATGGTAGGCATTCAGTAACTGTCTTGAGTGGAATGGTTTAAATGAATGAATGAGTGCAAATGCTCTGCCTTTTTTTTCTGCCTGGAAAGCTCAATCCTGCTCAGATTGACTCTTGCCCAAGGTCATGCACAGATGACACAGGGAAGCCCTTATGGGAACTCCTCAAGATGGGGAAGGAGCTTCTCTCCTACTTCCCCAGCGCTGGTGTATCCATCTGGTGATGATCTCATAGTCTGAAACTCCTGCTTTTAAATCTGTCCCCTCTTAGTTCCTCAGGGCAGGGACCATGCCCCACCCAGCCCTGCGAGGGCCCTTGCAAGCATGCAGCAGACCTGTGTTGCAGTAGAATGTAACTACCCTGCTCTGGGCTAATTCTGCATATTCATGCTGAATTAAGTTTTTAAAGCTCTCTTTTTTTTTTTTTTCTTGTTTTAGGAAAAGCAAATTATTACCTTTCTTGGACATAAGAGGACTCGGGGCTGGAAGCATGTGGTGCATCTTGCGAGGCTGGAAGCAAGGGTCATTTGGCCCTCATCAAGCCCTGGCACAGGGAGTCCGTGCTCTGGCCAGTGCAGCCTCCATGACTGGGGACGAGTATAGCTATGTGGTGGTGGGTGCAGGCTCAGCAGGCTGTGTGCTGGCTGGACGACTCTCAGAAGACCCCAAGGAGCATGTGCTACTGTTGGAGGCTGGGCCCAAAGACTTGTATGCAGGTAGCAAGCGGCTCCTATGGAGGATCCACATGCCTGCAGCCCTTGTGGCCAACCTGTGCAACGACAAATACAACTGGTGCTACTACACAGAGCCACAGGAAGGCCTAGACGGCCGTGTGTTATACTGGCCACGTGGCCGAGTCTGGGGTGGCTCCTCATCACTCAATGCCATGGTCTATGTCCGTGGGCATGCCGAGGACTACAACCGCTGGCACCGCCAAGGTGCTGTGGGCTGGGACTATGAACACTGCCTGCCTTACTTCCGCAAGGCGCAGGGCCATGAGCTAGGTGCCAACAGGTACCGTGGTGGTGAAGGTCCCTTGCGTGTATCTCGGGGCAAGAGCAACCACCCACTGCACCAGGCTTTCCTGGAGGCGGCACAGCAGGCCGGTTACCCATTCACTGAGGACATGAATGGGTTCCAGCAGGAAGGCTTTGGCTGGATGGACATGACCATCCATGAAGGTAACATATTCCCTGCCCCTGATCCCTTTCCCTCTGGTTCTGTTTTATCATGATCCGTAGCCGTGGACAAAATGGTGCTGGTATGAGGTGGAGGGGACATGATGTACCCCTTACGAGCCACAGAATATAATCTTAAGCCAGTAAGAAGTGACTTGGGGTGGTGACACCTTGGGGCCTCTAGCCCCTTTGGTGTGGATAGTGGAGAGCTCAGTCTTTGGCCAAGGAACTCAAAGTCTTTCAGAGATTTATAGATTGGGAAACTGAGGCACAGAGCAGAGAAGGGCTATGCTCACTGCAGGACAGTGGCAAGGCCAGGGTCAACTCAGGACTCTTGCCACCACTTCGGATGTCTTACCCATATCTAGGTGACCCTAGATAGATGTGGATTGCAGTTGGGCGGGGTGTTTTGGTGTCACTTTGAAGCGAGGGCTTGCACAGTCAAGGAAAGGGGCCTGTGCCTGATCTCTTTCTTTGTCCTGCAGGCAAGCGCTGGAGTACAGCCTGTGCCTACCTGCATCCAGCACTGAGCCGCCCCAACCTGAAGGCTGAGGTCCAGACACTTGTGAATAGGGTGCTGTTTGAAGGCACCCGTGCAGTGGGTGTGGAATATGTCAAAAATGGCCAAAGCCACAGGGTAAGCAAGTTATAATTTGGTGTGTATGTGTTGGGGAGGGGGCATTGACAGCTCAGACAACAGGAAAGGAGTGAGTGGTGGCCCCCAGTGGTCATGTTCTGTGTGGGCAGAAGCCCTATCCTCCCCTCCAACTGCAGGCTCTTGTCCCCGTGACAAGGAATGAGCAGTGCAAGCAGTGACATGCTGAGCTCTCACAGGAGAAGGTGGACTCACAGAGGTCAGGAAGCCCACAGTCCAGACACCTGCAAGAAGCCCACAGTGGCCTGGTATGCGTATCTCCTACAGCCTCTGTTTGCCACTCCCTACCCCAGAGCATCCCCCAGTGCCATCCACACCTTGTCAGGGCACTGACTCAGCAGAAATGTATAGTTTTACTTCAAAGGTTCTAGAAATTGTCAGTGTGAATGCAGACTGTATTTGTGTGTTGTGCTGTTTTTGACTTAATGGGATATTGGGCTCAGCTTTGTTTATCACAGCATTCATTTGAGTGCCTGTTTTCACTCATCTTGCTTAAGCTTTTCAATCCTGTTCTGAAGACAAGCTTCACTGTCTGGCTGTTGCAGAATATCTTAGCCTAGCACCATGCTGCTTTTATGATCACCCTCCATAGTCACATGGCAGGTGGGCTGAGGTGGGGGGTCCTCTCAGTCAGCCACAGAGTGAATGCTTGTCCTCACCCCTGGGACTTGTGAGGCAGGGTCTCAGCATCAGCAGTGGCATTCTTGACCATCACTCTGGGTATGTGGTGCTGCTGTCCTTCCTCACAGGACTGCTTTTTTGTGGTCCTGTCTGGCTAGAGCTAGTCTGTGAGTTGGAGAATGGCTGGCTTTTCAGAAAGAACAGTGTGAATTTCCCATCCTGTGACCTGGCTGCCGTCTGCCCTCCCCAGGCTTATACCAGCAAGGATGTGATTCTGAGTGGAGGCGCCATCAACTCACCACAGCTACTCATGCTCTCGGGCATCGGGAATGCAAACGACCTCAAGAAACTGGGCATCCCTGTAGTTTGCCACCTTCCAGGTGAGCTCCCTTCTTCCCTGCTCCACAGAGGGTCTCTGTTTAGAGGATGTAGCTGGCCTGGCTTTAAAAGAAAAAATAAAAAAAAATTATTAGCATGGAATGAGGAAGCAGCCAAGCATTTTCCCTGGGCCTGTCACATATTTCCCAAGAGCCTGAGGTAACCCATGCCTCCCTGGACACTCTTCCCTGCTCTGGGAGCCTGAATCTTAATGTTGTTCTGTCCCTGCTTCCCTAGCCATCATACCTCACTTAGAGGAGAGGAACCCCTGGACTGGCCTGGACATGGGACCAAGGCAGCTCTGTGGTGAGAGGGGATCCCTGCTCCCTCTTCACAGAACTCACTAGCAGCCCTGAGCATTAAAGAGGCTGCTTTTCATATTGAGACAATTTTTCCAGGCCAACAGTTGATTTATAAACTTTGATGCTTTGAGGGCCTGGCTCCAGCCCTCTTAAAGGCTGGGCTTGTTTGCATGTGAGCACCATCAGAAGAGGTCAGTTCTAGTCAGTAGGTGACCAGCCCAGCATCTCTTGAGCTTGGATGACCTCATGGCAGCCACCCGATCAAGGACTGCTTACTGAACAGTGCCTGCTGCAGGGGTGGTCCTGACCTCAGAGCAGGGCCTGATGGAAGACACCTGGATGGTTTACAGGTGCTTCCCAGGAGTGAGTGACAGGGGGAGGGGCTTTGGCAACATCTGAGAGAGGGTCAGTCTGGGCCAGGAAGTACATGAGCAGCAACCTTTAAGCTAAAACCCAGGGAATAAGCAGGAGCTGGCTGGATAAGTGGTGGAGGAGAGGTTTTTAAAGCCAAGGAGATGTTGAGAAGCCAGCTAAATCCCCGTGGGTAGCCATGTTTCTAACCACCCCCTCCCACTAAAGGAGTTGGCCAGAACCTCCAAGACCACCTGGAATTATATGTTCAGCAGGCGTGTACACGCCCCATCACCCTCCACTCAGCACAAAAGCCCTTGCGGAAGGTCCAGATCGGCCTGGAGTGGCTCTGGAAGTTCACAGGTGGGCAAGCTTATAGTGACCTTGGTAGAGTCAGTCTGTGGGGGGCACAACACCTGCACACCACGCTGATGTGAAGACCAGATGTGATAATGCACTGCCCAGGGCAAGACTCCTGAGGGCTTAGCTGAGGGCTTAAGTGTTGCTGTTCGTTACAGATGGACAAAATGGCCTCATTCCTGGCAACAATCTGGAGTCCACAGAGCCAGGACAGAGAGGGAATGTTGTTGGTGCTTGACTGTGGGATCTATATCTACTTATTTTCTAGCCGAATCTCTGAGCACTGCCTAGGCCAGGAAATGGGGCTTTGAGATACTGTTTGTTCATTCGGCATATGTATATGTTGTTGTTGTTGTTATGTGCCATCGAGTCGGCCCTGACTCATAGCGACCCCTCCTTGGATTTCCGAGGCAGTATCACTACGGAAGTAGGATTGCCCAACCTTCCTTCCGAGGAGTGGCTGGTGGGTTTGAACCGCCAGCCTTCTGGTTAGCAG